TTTGCTGTTCGCGAATAGCGACCCATTCTGTCGTGGCCCTTAATAAGAGAAGGGTGGCCAGTTCAGTTGAACCGGCCCCCAACCGGTTCATTACAATCTCCCCTTCTTTCAATTAAATCAAGTAGAAGGAACGTATCTTAATTAAAGAGACGAGGATATTTATTTCTCATTTCAGCTTCCCGCTTCCAGGTGACATCTCTTTCAGGTTCGTGCTTCCATGATATTTTCACAAAAGGTATTATCTTATTCCTCAGTCGTTTCACATCATAATCCAGTATTTGTTCAGGTTCTTTAACATATTTCAAATCAGGTTGCAAGTCAATGGATTTAGAATGTATTCTTTTGGAATCATCTGATACATACTTCCGAAGTACTGATATATGAAACACATTATGAATTCCTTGCATATGCATTGGTAGATCCAATCTGTATGCCTTATTTCCAATCTTTTCAATGATTTTATAGGGACCTATGAATCTTGGGCTCAATTTTCTTGTCTTTCCAAACCTTTAAACACCTTTCATTGGGATGACATTTAAGAAATTAAACTCTCCAACTTAAGATTCCACTGGTTAGTGCTTTGCATTATAATACTTTCGTTGCATGTCTTGAACTACCTTTAGTCTATCTCTGATCAATCTAATTTTGTTAGTAGCTTTATCCACCAATTCAGTTCCTATTACCTTTCTTTCATCAATTTCTATCCAACACAAGGGTGTTCTACACTTTATTCCATAAAGGGCCTCATATGGTGCCATTCCAATGCTAGCTTGAAATTTGTTATTGTAAGCAAATTTAATAAATGGTATGTGAGTTTCCCAATTTCCTCAAAAATATAAAACACATAATCGCATTAAATCTTCCAAAGTCTAAATCATCCTTTCTGATTACCCATCTGTTTGAGGATGAAATGTTGTACTGAAAGTCAATTGGGTACCTATAGCTTCATGAATTTTCTTCCATAATTTAGAAGTGAAATGGGCATCTCTATCTGAAACAATAGATTTTGGAATTCCATGCAATCTCACAATTTCATCGACATATAATTTTGCCAACTTCTCTACTGAATTTGTCTGCCTGATTGGTAAGAAATGAGCTGACTTGGTTAATTTGTCAATAACATCCCATATTGTATTTTGACTCTGCCCTGACTTGGGTAATCCAATTACAAAATCTATTGTAATGTCTTCCCATTTCCACTCTGGTATAGATAAAGGTTGCAGTTGACCACTTGGCTTTTTATATTCTACTTTAATCATATGATAGGGAATACATTTTGCTATAAATTCTGCAACACTCCTCTTTAATCCTGTCCACCAAAATAACCCTCTAAGTTACTGATATATCTTTGTATTGCCTGGTGAATTTCATATGTTGAGAGGTGAGCTTCCTGCAATATCTCTTCTCTTAAATTTCCAACATTTAGAATACAGATTCTTCCTTTATACTTTAATAATCCTTCTCCATCCATAACAAAGTTCTCTAACTGCTCTGCTTGCACCTTTATTATGATGGCCTGAAATTTTTCATCATGAGATAATACATTAAGTACTCTATCTTTCAAAGTAGTTGGATCATCAGTTGATTAAACATCATATCTTTTGTCTCTTTCAGATTTACCACTGAAATTTCTAACATTTCCATATCTCTAATTATCTGCTCATGTTGGGTGATTAACCAATTTACATTCCAAGTGATTTTCTGCTAAGTGCATCTGCAACCACATTTGCCTTTCCAGGATGGTACTGTATGTCTAAGTCATAATATTTAATAAGCTCTAACCACCTTTACTATCTCAAATTAAGCTCTTTTAGATTGAAAATATACTTGAGACTTTTATGATCTATAAACACTTCGCATCTGACCCCATATAGATAATGTCTCCATATTTTGAATGCAAAAACTATAGCTGCCAATTCTAAATCATGAGTGGGGTAGTTCCTTTTATGAATTCAGTTGTCTTGAAGTATAGGCCACCACTCTACCATGTTGCATCAATACACATCCAAGCCCCCTTAAGGAAGCATCACAGAAAATTTGGAACCCTTCTGAACCTGATGTAATTATCAATATCGGGGCATTCATTAAACAATTCTTTAATTTCTAAAATGCTTCTTCACACTGATCATTCTACTCAAATTTTACTACTTTCTAAGTTAATCTGGATAGCGACATAGCAATCTGAGAAAACCCTTCTACAAACCTCCTGTAGTAACCAGCAAGTCTTAGAAAACTCCTCATCTCTGAAACTGTTGTTGGTCTTGGCCAATCTGATATGGCTTGAATTTTATTCTGATCAACTAAAATTCCTTCACCACTAATCACATGTCCTAGAAAATTTACACTGCTCAACCAAAATTCACACTTTAAAAATTTAGCATATAACTTGTTCTCCTTTAATATTTACAACACTGCTTGTAAATGATTGAAATGGCTTTCTTCATCTCTTGAATAAATCAGAATGTCATCAATAAAGACAATTATAAATATGTCCAGAAATAGCTTTAAAACTATGTTAATCAAATCCATAAGTATAGCTGGTGCATTTGTCATCCCAAATGGCATTACTACAAATTCATAATGGCTATAGTTGGTTCTAAAAGTTGTCTTTGTTATATCTTCCTCTTTAATTCATAGTTGATGGCATCCAAATCTTAAATCTATCTTAGAGAAAACTGTAGCTCCTTCCAGTTGATCAAAAAGATCATTTATTCTGGGCAAATGATACTTATTCTTAACAGTAAGCTTATTCAATTCCCTGTAATCTATGCACATTCTTAAGCTCCCATCTTTCTTCTTTACAAACAGTACTGGAGCTTCCCATGGTGAGAAACTTGGCCAGATAAACCCCTTATCTAGCAATTCATGCAACTAGTTTTTCAGTTTTTATAACTCTTTGACTGTCATCCTGTAAGGTGCTCTTGCCACTGGTTTTGAACCCAATATCAATTCGATAGTGAATTCTATCTCCCTTTCTAGTGATAATCATGGAAAATCATCCAAAAATACTTCTAGATACTCTCTGACTACAGATATATCTTTTAACTGTTTGACTTTCTTATTTGTATCCTTTACTTGAGCAAGAAAATACTAACATCCCTTAGATACAAATTTATATGCTGTAAAATAAGTAATTATCATTGAAGAAATTCCTCTCTCACCAAAAAAATTCAACTCTCCTTCCCCAGGAAAATTAAACTTTACAATTTTCTTGTTATAGTCAATAATCACAAAGTACCTTGATAACCAATCCATTCCCAATATCATACCAAACTCTTGTAATGGTAAAACATTCATTGAGGTTTCAAACTCTCTTTCATTCATTTTAAAAGTCACTTTACATACACCTTTTCATTCATAATTGATCCATTTGGCATTAGAACTTCCAAAATTACAATAGTCTCATAAATATTCAGCCCAACTATTTTAACAAATTCTTCTGAAATGAATGAGTGTGAAGCTCCTGTATTAAAAAGGATTCGTACAGGCTTTCCTTGCATCGTAATCATACCTATAAAATTACAAACATAAAGAATATATATATATATATATATATATATATATATATATATAATTTCTAACGATTTCACAATTAGGATTTTAATTCTTTTAAAGAGGAAGTCATAATGCCTGAGAAATTAGAAATAGGATTTTAATGCTTTCATCTTTCATGGTGAAATCACTCTCTTGTAATTTCATTCTTCCACGAGTTTAATAAAATGAGTTTGCTTATTATTCATCTTATGTCTGACTAATTATCTTATTTTGGTTTAATGATATAAACTATGCTGAGTAATGAAGATTCTTATTTTATAATTGTTAAAAGATGTTTTCAATATTAGTCCACTCTTTATTTAATGCACATAGTAGTCATATGTGTATTTAAAATTTAGTGTGATGTAAAAAATATAGCCTCGATGGAGAAATACAAGAATAACTATGAGTATTGAGATAGGATGTTTTGCTTGCCTTGACATATGATGTAAAATTTTATAGGTTTTTAAGATATTATAATTATAAAAGGTCAGCAGATATCCTTTTCACCCATATAAGCTCGATAGAGATCTAAGGATGCATATGTTATGAATCACATTACCATGAAGAGCATCAGTATGAAAGATATGCAATTTAAATTCATCAATCCAAAACACTTTAATTAAATATTGTATATAATATTTTTACTATTTCATTTAGTGATAGAATCTCTAAAGTTATCATTTTTATTTCAATAGGAAAATTATTGTAATTGGCCATGTATTTTTACATATATTCAATGGAGTTTTATTATTTTTATATAAAAAAACTATGAATTATTTTTGGGTGACATAGCCGTAGAATTTTATACAATTCAAAAGTTCACTCCATACCCCCCATTAAATTTTTTGCGCTGTTGTCCATGAAGCAATTTGCTTTTTATAATTTTAACTATATTATTAAATTAATCATATAATTAGGCCTACTTATATCTTTCATTTTATTTATTTTATTTGCTCATTACATATTCATGGTTGCATGCTTTATGTACATAGAAAGAAACATTTGTTGTTTGACCCTAAAATAGAAAGAACCCTTTCAAAATTTTAAAAACTAAAAGGATTATAAAAATGGTTGAACCTATATTAGATCAAAATCATTCTAGATCTCTTTAGGAATTATGCTAACCCTTTAGTAGACAGAATTTATCAGAGTATTATTAAACATATGATCCAAGCTAATAATATTGAATTAAAACCTACCACAATTTAAATGATTCAAAATTCTCAATTTGAGGAACTCCTGTTGAAGATCTCAATTTATACTTAGCTAGTTTTTTAAAAATTGTCCAATATTTATGTATAACGGTGTCAGTGTTGAAGCAATTAGGCATATATTATTCTGATTTTCTTCTAGAGATAAGGCTAAGATGTGGTGGAATTCTTTACTCCCAAGGCTCCATAGGCATTTAGATTAAGTAAGCTCATAAGTTTATTACTAAGTATTTCCTACCTTCGAAGATTGCTAAACCTAGAAATGATATCACTTATTTTACCCAGTTTGAAGGAGAATTAATTTATGAGAGTTGAGAGAGTTTTAAGAAAATGCTTAGGAAAATCCCTCACCATGCTTTACCTGATTGATTGGTTATTCAAATATTTTATAATGGATTAGTAATATTCATGTCATGATCTTTCTTTGTTATATTTAAACAAGAATTTGACTTTTTATAGGACACAATGGAGAAAAAGGATTCATGTAGCCAACCCCACATAGTGGGACAAAGGCTTGATGTTCTTGTTATTGGATTAGTGAGATCTCTTAGAGCAATCATAAATACTGTTGCTGAAGGATCATTATTGTCTAAGCCATTTGAAAAAGTGTATGAATTAATAGAGGAAATGACTATTAACAGGGCTGTCAAAAACGGGTGTCAACCCGGACCCGACCCGATATTTAAAACGGGTCAAAAAATGTAACCCGAACCCGACCCGTTTCGGGTTCGGGTTGACCCGAACCCGAAAAAATCGGGTCGTGTTCGAGTCGGGTTTTCGGGTCGTGTCATATATTGACAGCCCTAACCATTAATAATTTTCAGTGGCCTATTAAAAGGATAATCCTATGAGAGTAGTAAGAGTATATGAATCTGATGCTTTGCATATTTGACTGCTCAACTTGCAGCAATTTCTAAGAAGTTGAGCAAAATAGGAGAAAATATAGAATTTAGAAATGAATTACCTATGCAATTAGAGGATCAACAAGTAATTAAAAATAGTAATGTGTAAGGGATTGGAATTATTAATTTGATTGGAAGATAAAATAATCAATACTCCAATATATATAATCCAGGTTGGAGGAATCATCTTAATTTTAATTGGTCAAATAATATTATTGGTTTCAATTAATGAAACTTTAGTCAAAATAATTAAAGTGTAAATTGGAATAATCCTCAACAACCTACTGCTGATCCTAAACTTACATATAATCTAAGATTCAATCAAAGTAATCAGTTTGTAAGTAGAAATTAAACATTTGAAGATGTAGTGATGTAATTAAAAAGTCAATTATATAACTGAGCTGCTTGAAACTAATTAATTCATCACACAATTTTAGTCAGCAGTAGACTGCTTAGATCATTGCCAAGAAATGCTGAAGATGACCCTAATGAAAAAGAAAAAATGATCAAACAGATAATCATTTTAAAATTTGGTAGCAATGTACCACAAGAAAATTGATAAATCTAGACAAGTATGGCTGAAAACCATAAACTTAGCATTGCATCGAAGGTAGCCCATATTTATATTTAGTATGAAATGTTATTTTGTTTGAATATACATGAGTCATGTTACATATGTTGTTATTTTTGTTATGTTTTATCTTTTATTTTATTTTGATGATTAAAGTTATAATCTAAATTTAGTAAATAAGAGTGAGCAAAAATTTAATTGAGCGGTGCAGTGCTGAGTTCTTGAAGCGCTACTACTTCAAAAATATGCTGTATAGCATTAAACCCTGAGAAATGCTCATTTGAAACCTCTTGGTTAATTAAACACCGCTGTGGTGACAATTTGAGCACCACAACGCCTTGTTATTGAAGCCAATTCCAAAACAATGCTATCATTTTTTAAAACAAACACCGCTGCTCCATATGGCCTAGACCGCTATAGTGCTTGTCAGTTTGACTATTTTGTAATTTTCTTCATAGACTGAGTGCCATCCATAGAGCTATTTCCCGCATTACAGTTGCACTCTATCGAGTTTTAAATTTGTTGGTTACATTTTTCATATAATTCATAGTATATACATTCCTTCAAACTCTTCTCTTTTCTAACCCTTTTAAGCTTGATGGCCCTTAAGAAGTTTGGGAAGAAGAGGGCTTCCTTTTCTTATGATATGAGCATATTCTTTTTTTGGTGATGATCAATCGAGATATATTTCTTTAGTTGTGACCGAATAGCTGATTCCTAAGTTGGTTTTTCATAATCCTAGCTACCAAATCATGCAAATCATTACTAGTAAGGGTTGGGAGCATTTTTGTGAAGAGATTTTTACTACAATTGTAAATACAGTTAGAGATATATTTCCAAATGAAACAGAGGCTATGGATAACAAATATTATGTTTGGGGTAAGAGGGTTCCATTAAATTCAGTTACAATAAACAAAATTTACAAACTTAGGGACTTCGAAATTGGTGAAATTTTTACTTTTATTGGGATAATTATAGATCCTCAAGATATTCTGAATATACTGTGTAGATCCAATAGCATAGCTGTGTGGAGAAGGGAGAGAAAAATTTATCAATTTCCTTGCCACCTACCTAACCCAAATCTCTAAGGCCTGACACAATATTATCCTTTCCATTTTACTGCATAGTAAAAACAATAGTGAAGTTACTTGTGATCGTGCTCTATTAAACTATGCTATTCAAATGGGGCATTCCATTGATGTGTTAAAGCTTATTTTCTCCTCTCTCATGTACATCATTATGGGTACCAACTATGTTTTGTTATGGCACCCTTCACTAGTTTATGCTTTAGTTGTTGTAGTTGGTGTAAGGGGAGATAAAACTAAAGAGAAATGATTCCCCATTATATCCCTTACAAAATGAAAAATTTTGGGCTTGAAACAAACTAAGAGAGAGGAGGAAGAAGGAGACCTTAGTGAGCTTAGAGTGTTTGGGAGGCCTAGTTGCAGAAGCAATAACAATAGTATTAGAACTCCTAAGACTTGGGAGATCAGGTAGCTAAATTTAGAAGAAAGCTAGAAAATATGACTCAATTACATGAGGAATCAAAATATTGGTAGCATGATATGAGGATAAAGATGGCCCATAGTATGGATCATCAGGAAAAGCATTACAGACACACTACTAACTTTAATGATGCTCTTATAGGAATGTTAAAGTAGTCCTTTTATGGAGCTTCCGGCCTGATCAACTTTAGTTTCCATCTGCACCTTCTTATGATCCTTTTGTTGGTAGCCTTGTGAGAGAGGCCATGATGATGATGATGATGATGATGAGAGGAGGAGGAAGACCCAGACTCAGCTAGTTGGGAGTTGTTCCTGGAATGAGGAGAGAAATATATTGTATGCTACTTTTGTTTGGTAACATGTTTGTAATTTATTTATTTTTCATTTCTTTCCTATATTTGCATTTTATTTATATTTGTACTTCTAGATCATGATATCTTATCATATAGTTTAGTAATTTTAAATAATTAATTTTTATTTTGGTTATTTTAGATCATACTTAAATTCATAAAAGATAAGATTGGAGAACTAGTATAAATTCTAGTGAACATATGAAATTTCAAATTTAACTTCAAAAACATCTAATATTTAATCTATATTATTTAATATAAAATTCAAAAGTCAATGACTACATTCATAACATATAAATTCATATTAGGCAATAATATGGATGACTGGTCACGATAATTGTTAGTATTGCTTCAAACTAAAATTATAACTTTGTTCATTTTCACTACTTCTAGATCACGATATATTATCCTATATTTTAGTAATTTTAAATTATTAATTTTTATTGCGGTTATTTGATTAATCAAAATTATAGATTTATTTATTTACTTGAGGACAAGAAAAAATTTAAGCTAGGAAAATTTTGATAAGTGTAAATTATATATTATTTATGTGTTTTATTTTAGTAAAAATATATTATTTTAGTTATTCCTATGTAGGAAAAACTAAAAAAAGCATAAATTTCTAAGCAATCTACAAAGCCTTGTCGTTTGACAAAATAATGTCACAACACACCTTCCAATATCATCGAGGCACCACAAATTAGATATTACAGCATCGAGTTATCTATTTACAAATGCAATGGTGGCAACACATCTAGCACCGCAATAGTACCAGCACCGTAGCATCTAAAAGTCAGCTTGGAAGCGCCAAAATCTATATTTTCAATAGCGCACACAATTTCTTACTCCTCAGCACCATTTTTTCTACTTGGGTGTCGTAGAGCTCGAATGTCAACAACACCAATGTGTTACAGTTGTAACTTATAAAGTCATATTATCTCAATTGGAAGATGCAACATTTCACTAAATAAATGATCCACATCAGCGAGCGCCAAGGCTGTGCAAAAGCTTCAATGCTGAGGCGCTAGGTCATTTTAAGGTAGCCGCGATACCATTATTTTAAGCATCACAGTGCCAAATACCTTTTTATATTTTCTATAAATAGTTATGATGACATGTTTATGATGGAGTTCAATCACTTGTGTAAAATTTAGTACTTTTTAGAGTGCTTCTCAAGTTCCCTCTTATAGTAAAATCTATGGGAGGCAAGTGAAGTACAAGATACAATCATTTGGAGTATTTAACATGTGTTTCTTGAAGCAACTTGTAAGTTAAGGGAGATGGAATGTATATGAGAGATACTTTGATCCTTCCTGATCATATCACTCTCTTTCATTTTCTTTCTATCATGAGTTTAATGAAAATGAGATTGCTTGTTATTCATCTTATATTTAGTTAATTATCTTATTTTGGATTGATGACGCAAAATGCATGTTGAATACTAATGAAGACCCTTATTCTATAACTATTAAAAGATGTCTTCAAATATTATCTTGCTCTTTATTTAATGCATATAGTGTCCATATTTGTAGTTAAAATTTAGTATGGTGTATAGTCTCGATGGAGGAATGCAAGAACAACCAAGAGTATTGAGATATAATGTTTTTCATGCCTAGACATATAATGTAAAATACTTTAGGTTCTTAAGGAGATACTATAAATGTATGAGGTTAGCAGATATCCTTTCACCCTTATAATCTCGATAGAGATCTACGGATATATATTTTTTAAATCACATTATCATGAAGAAGCTCAACATAAAATATATGCAATTTAAACTCATTAATCCAAAATACTCTAATTAAATATTATATTCATTATTTTTCCTATTTAATTCAGTGATAAAATCTCCAAAAATTATCCTTTTTATTTCAGTAGGATAGTTATTGTAATTAGAAATAATAGTAGTAGTTTGTTGTAAGTAAGCCTACTTCCTCATGGGTTTGATACTCTACTCTATAACTTTATTACTTAATTTTGCACATATACTTATTTATACTCAGTGATATTGTATTATTTTTTATATCAAAGAAAACCTAATCATTATTTAGGAGGGATAGAGCCCTAGAATTTTATACATTTCAAAAGTTTAATCCATATCCCTCTTCAATAACCCTAAACTTGATGCTATTATAGATGAAATGCTTAGTTTAAATGTGAGAAAATTTGATGGAGAACTAAGTGAAAGTTTGGTTATTAGATGATTTTTCATTAGGATGCTTTAAGGTTAGTTTGTTAAATTTGTTTGTTGTTGGGCATCTGTGAAAATCTTCTATTTTATGGATTTATAAAATCCCTTAACTCTTTAAGACCTCTTTTATCTTTTGTTGCTAAGTTTGAAAAATCAATAGTTCTGTTGGTTTAGTAACAAGTTGAATTTTGATCCTCTTGTGATTGACTTTTGTCATATTTATCAACATTATATTCTTTCTATTTTGAATTAGTACCAACAAAAATGGTAATAAATAATTAGGTGTTTATATTTGGTTGGTTTGCTGCATATAACTTGGATGAGAAATCTTCTAAACTAAAAGTGAAAGTCCATTAAGGAAAACTATTTCATCCATTTGGCATTTGTTTTGTCTTATTCTGTGCTGGTCTAAGAAGATTAAAAGTTTAAACAAATATTAACTGAGCTTAATACAAATTGTCGCCTTGAATGGTAATAGAAATATTCATTATTTACTTACGTTTCATTAGTTGTTGAATGAGTTGGAGGATTAATCTGAACTATTTATTTAGTGTTTTACTATGTTCTAATTTAGAGTGCTATTTATTTTACACTTTGTTATTGTTAAATCTACTTGGAGACTAATTGTTCTCCAAGAGTTTTTTCAAATATAGATTTTCTGTAATTTGATTTGTAATATATATAGTATTACAATTCACTATCCAATAAATTGTAATTTGATTCCTAGTTGGTTGTTGGATATTGGTTCTTGCATGGTAATAGAAATTTGTTAAGTTTTCCTAGTTTAAACTTTACAAATTTCTTGGTTGGCATTTGTTGAACTTAGATGCTACAGTTGTTGAATTTTATACACAAAATTTACTAATTTACTTTAATTTCATTATTTATTAAGATAACTTTATTAACTAATTTTCTTAATTTTTTTTTTACTACATCTTAAAGTTGCTAAATTTTAAAAAGCAAAATTTGCTCAAAGATAAATTTGAATTTTGAAACTGCACGAATACCAATGTTAAATTTAAATCTTACTTAAATTTATATTTTTTTATGTACTAAACAATTTAATTTTAAATACCTTTTAAAAAAATAAGTTTTTGAGTCATGTATGGCTAATTTGAAACAAAATCCGGTCTCATTTGGGTTAAGGATGTTAACACAAAACTATAATCAAGTTAGGTTTAGGTCAAGTCAAATAATGACGGGTCAATTTTAAGTTAGACCTGAACCCAACCCAAAAACTCATTTTGACACCGCTAGTTTCAGTGTTAGAACATGAAAGCAGAGATGGACGGAGCAAGAACACAGAACGAGATAGAGAAAAATAGAATTATTATTGAGTTGAATGAAATATTACAGTATACAGTGATCCAGTATATAAAGACAGTAAAATGGCAAAATAGTAAATAAAGATACATATAAGTAACGTTTGTTTACAGCCTCCCTCAAATTAATCATTCTGTGGACGAATGGTTAATTTGCGACGAAGGTTATGAAAGCGAATAGCAGAAAAGGATTTTGTTAAAATATCAGCAATCTGTTCTTCGGACGGAATATGAGTAAGGGAGATAGCGCCGTTCTTGAGATGCTGGCGAATAAATTGGTAGTCTATCTCAATATGCTTGGTTCGGGCGTGGAACACTAGATTCCGAGCGAGAGCAATTGCGGATGTGTTGTCACAATAGATTTGTGTAGGAGAAGTTTGCGGAAGATCAAGTTCGGCGACAAGAAGACGCAACCATATGACATCGGAGGTGGCAGCCGAGAGAGCTCTATATTCGGCCTCGGTGGACGATTTAGCCACCGTCACTTGCTTCTTGACTGTCCATGAAATGAGAGTTGGACCTAAGAAGGTAAAAAAACCGGAAATGGATTTCCGGTCGGAGGAGTCGGATGACCAATCAGCGTCGGTGTAGGTTTGTAATTTGATTTGTAATATATATAGTATTACAATTCACTATCCAATAAATTGTAATTTGATTCCTAGTTGGTTGTTGGATATTGGTTCTTGCATGGTAATAGAAATTTGTTAAGTTTTCCTATTTATACTTTACAAAGATAAATTTGAATTAAGCTCAAAGATAAATTAATATTTTTACTACATCTTAAAGTTGCTAAATTTTAAAAAGCAAAATTTGCTCAAAGATGAATTTGAATTTTGAAACTGCACTATACCAATGTTAAATTTAAATCTTACTTAAATTTATATTTTTTATGTAATAAACAATTTAATTTTAAATACCTTTTAAAAAAAATAAGTTTTTGGGTCATGTATGACTAATTTGAAACAAAATCCGGTCTCGTTTGGGTTAAGGATGTTAACACAAAACTATAATAAAGTTAGGTTTAGGTCGAGTCAAATAATGATGGGTCAATTTTAGATTAGACCCGAACCCAACCCAAAAACTTATTTTGACACCGCTAGTTTCAGGCATAATAGAGTTGTATAAGAGTAAAGTTTTAAATGAATCAACCATAATGAAAGCCATAGGAAAAGGTCTGTAATTAAACATGGAAGAAGCTGCATAATTTTCTTTATATTTTATAAGTGTATAAGGCTAAGGCCTCTTCTTTTTTAGGCTGTAGTAGAACTCAGTAAGCTAAAGATTAGCCGAGGAGGTTGAGTTCTTTATATTTTGGAGATTTTCGTGAACCCTATGGCACTGCTTTCTTGGATCAGGTCACCTGACAGAGAGACCCATTCGGATCCTCTCTGTCTACAGTAACATGCGCTTTACTGTAGCACTGCTACAGTAAAGCGCAGGTTACTGTAGACAGAGAGGATCCGAACGGATCTCTGCATCAGGTGACCTGATGCAATAATTTGCCGCTTTTTTTTTTTCTTGAGTGTCGCAATATTAGATCAAAATTTTTAATAAAAATACCATTTTTCACTAAATCCTAATCTTATCAAATCCCCCCACCCAACTGAATTGTAACCTAGAGAAAGAGTTAGAGATTTTAGTGAGAGAAAGTTCGATTTGGGTGGCTTTAGTCCATTTTTTGCTATTGACCTAGTTTGAAAAGTTGTCCATATTAAGGCAGATTACATTCTACCAATCTCAGTTAAAAGTAAAATTGTGATTTTTTTTTATTAAAATTATAATTTCGTAGTGTGAAAATGAGAATAACTTTTGTCCAATTAAATTATCATCATGTAACTTTATGTATATTATAAATATAGGTATTCTAGATATTTTAATATTTTCTTTAGAGATTTTTATGTGGTAAATAAGAAAGTGTGCTATTTTTAGCTGATAAGAAAATATTTTTAGCTTAAAAAACATTATTGAACATTTAAATCTTCAAAAAAAAGTCTCTTGAGAAATGCCTTATATTATAAAAATACTCAAGCATGTTGCTATTATACTCATGAATACTGAATTAAGAGGTAAATTCAGGCATAGAACCTCTTAGGATAGCTATAATCCATTTATTTTCCATATCTTACCATAGTTCTTTTGAACCAAAAGTACATAAAGAATCAAGAGACCTCACATATTAAAGCACATGCGGAGCTACTATCATTTATGGCTTATATAGTTATATATCAATGACATCATCTACTTTTCCATACTTTCATAAATGTATTAGGTTATTTTTTTAGCTTGGATTCTAATTTTGTAAATAAACTTATTTTGATGATATGCATGCAATTCTCTTTTTTATTATAATAAATCATTAAGAGAATAAAAAGAAAATATATAAGTGTCGTAATAATTTGACAATGCTAAGAGAGAGAGAGTTATTATATTACAATAATATTACTCAATTGTCTTACAATGCTATAATTAAATTACTAATGATATCATAAAATCTCTTTACTTACTTCTAGAAACATCTTTGGACATTTTGTATTAATAATATTAATTAAGATAACTGTTTTTTTATTTGTTGATTAATGTTTTAGATCAATTTTTTTTACTACAAAGGGATCCAATAAAATTTTTTGGGACAAGAATTAAAAGAAAATTTCAGATTTTCATATATTTATCAACTTGAACTCATACAATTAAATTTGAGCTCAAACTCAATTAAGTAATCAAATTCAAACTTAAGCTAAGGATGACTCGAGCAATGCTCGTTCACACTCCTAACTCCGTATTCAATTATTACAACTAAGGCTTCGTTTGTGACAGCTTTTGGCCACTGCTTTTTTGCTGCTTTCAAGAAAATTTTTAACTGCAAAACTACTTTAAAAAGCAGCTAAAAAACTGCCCCAAACGAAACCTAAATCAACTTTGCTTCTTACATGGTGATGGGAAAGTATGGTAAAACAAGCAAATAAAAAATGGATGAGAAAATTGTAAGCACAACTTCAAGCATGCCTAATGCCTAAGAAATCCCAACAGTTTTGCCCAACAACCACATGACAAGAGAGAACTCAATCATAAACAAAGCATGAAGCCAAGTTCGATCGACCACGAACCCAAACAATGTGATGCCAGCCCTGTTGTTTTCCATGTAGGTCACTGCAAGATTTTAAAAAATTTATATTATGATGTATTTTAAACTCTTAGATTTACATTAAGATTAATATTATATATGATATTCTGAATCACACAAAAGCTTCATTTGGGACGGTTTTTTTCCTGCTTCTTAAAACAACTTTCTAGTACAAAAATTAAAAATTTTATACTCGAAAGTTACTTTAAGAAGCAGTAAAAAAGCCGTCTTAAATGAAGCCTAATTCTGATATATTTTGTATCAGGATACCCTTAGAATAATTTTTTCCAAGATAAAAAAAAGGCAGATCAGCATAAAGTTAAAATCAACAAATCCTTTGATCTGTGCATCTTTCTGAACTCACCTAGGGATTGTCTCTTCTGGAAAGAAAATGTGTGAATATTTGAGGAAACAAGCTTTGCGTCTTCGAGCTCATCATCTTCATCAGAATCCTGGTGTTCAGATTCCTCTTCTCCAGCTTCATTAACAAAGACGGAGGTTTCAGGAGATGGGACCTCTGAATCCTCCCCATAAGAATCAATGGTAGCTGATACGTGCCAGGTCGCTGCGAGGCTTGTTATTGCTTGAGCCTTGTGTGTGATCTTCGCAGCACTTCGCAGGCACATCAGCAGCCCGGTCACGAGCCCAATTGAGCATAGCTGCAATCATGTATTTTTAATGGAACATTGAGGCTCTATTAAATAAAAATGGAATTGGTTGAGAGGAAATAAAATGAAAATGATAAACATAATTGAATTGACATTAGTATTCACTCACTTATTTGGTGGAGAACAAAATGATTTTTTTTTTTGCTTTTTAGTCAATGATGAATTGAGTTTTTTTCTTTCTGTAATGAGGCATGCGAGTCACTTTGGAAAGATATGCAAGAATGGGAAAGGTTTTAGAATTAGACAAAATTTAAGAAGATAAGAGAAGATGAAATAAACTACTTACGCTTAGAAGATAAGAGGAGATGAAAGAGACTACCTTTTTTCACTTTAATTTGATATAAATTCAAAGACTTCACCACAATTTATATTAGTAACAAATTGCTTAAGATTATGCTAACATATTTCAATTTGATGGCTAGAAATAGGTCCCTAAAAAACTATTCTACCTTCAATCATAGAAGTTATTAAATGCAATTCTAGATTTTTCGATAGATAATTTTAAAATAAGCATTTAGCATCGCCAAAAGATTATTCTAGAGAATGGGCTCCGATTAGATAATTAAAGCCCAACATAAACCAAATTTAAGTTTAACTTCCAACATCAACTCTTAAACTTGATTTTGCAACACCAAACAAATTTCTCATCTTGACAAAACCATCATACTTGAGTAACTTGGTCTTGAAACTTCACATATGCAACTTGCACTTTCTTGTGATTGATTCTCTAATGCAGTGATAGGTGTATCAATATGCTTGCATCTATAATAAAAAACTATATGTTTTGACTGGTTATATCGCAAGCTTGCTATCAATATGAATCTTTGTTGCTTCTTATGATAACTTTAGTTCTTTAACAATTTTTGAAGTCATATTGCATGAAAAATACATAAGGTTGCGATCACATACTTTGCTTCACAAATAAAAATTACGACAATCAATTGTTTTTTTGACATCCAAGTGAAAGCAATGTCTCTCATGAAGAATATAAACCCAATAGTACTTTTTCTACTATCCATGCCCTAGCCCAACCATTATCACTATATCCTACAAGCTTTAAATCTTTAATAAGTAATAGAGAAATACAATGTCATTGTACCTTTGTATAGCATAGGATTCTTTTAGTAATCTTTAAGTGGATGGTAATTAGAGTCTCTATGTAGAAACTGGCAAATCTAACAACATAAAGAACATCAGTCCTTGTTCACAATAAGTAGCACAAACTCTCAACTAGATTCTTGAAAAATATTGAATCAATTCTTTCTCCTTCACAATACTTTGATAGCTTAACTTCACATTCTATAGAAGTGCTTATAGATTTGTTATTGTCAAACCTTGAACTTCTTTAATCTCTCATTTGAATAACATTCTTATGAGATAAAGATTTCATCTTCCATTCAGCTGACTTTAAGGTCAGGTAATAAGTTGTGAGCTCAATATCAGTCATCTCAAACACTAATCATTTCTTGTTTAAACTTTCCAAATATGCTTGGATTTGTTCCAATGAAAATCAAGTAATCGACGCACAAGCAAACAATCAAAACATCAACTTTCTTATTTTTGATATAAAGAGCATGCTCATATGGATGACGACGACAAAATTAATCCTTTATCCCACTACATGGGATCAGCTAAAATCTCTCTCTTTTAAGTACTTATGTATTCGGTCATTCCATGCTTTTAGTACTTGCTTCAACCCATAGAGAGAGTTTTAGTTTTCTAATCTTGTTCATGTCTTTTGACCACGTAATATGGTGGTTGTTGAATATAAACTTCTTCATCAAGAATTTCATTCAGGAAGGTAGATTATAAATATATTTAATGTATTCTCCAATTATTTTGGGGTGCCAAATAAATGACTAGTTTATTTGTTTATTGAGCAACAAGAGCAAATACCTCATCATAGTTGATAATAGCTCTTTAACTTAATTAATGAAAATGAACTTCTCACTCCAATCATCTAACTTATTTTTTATCAAGCTTACTTATAGTCATGTCAAGTACATGCACATGAGTTATGCTTCCAAAAACTATTAGATGAGAGACACAAGGAAATAGTTACTCTTACCAAATAAGCTTGACTTTATTGGACTATAAACATCTGCATGTATGAGCTCTAATGACTTTCAAACCCTTAAACTTGACTCCCTTGGAGAGTTAATCTTGAAATGCTTCATGAATAGGCATGCTTCATATAATTGATCATGGTGTTTGATGCAAAGAAAACCTCTCACCATCTCTTTTTTTGAAAGTAGCTCTAATCCTATGAATTTGAGATGCCAAACTAAAGATGTCATAACCAAGAAATATTTTTAAAATAAGCTTTGAGGTACTTGAAAACATCATTTTGGATAATTATCAAGGACAATTTATTTCTTAAGATTGGCACAGATGCAATCAAATTGTCCATATTATCATTTAAGAAAAAATAATTATCTTTTAAGTGAATATCATATCATTTCTCTAAGAGTTATCCTAAACTCTCAAGATATTACTATTCATATTTGGTATAATGTAAACATTGAAAATGAATTAATGCTTCTCATTCTTCAGGAAAATAAAAATGTTATATTTATCTTCTATTTTTATAGCCGATTCATTTTTGAAAGACATGTTGCATCTCACCAATTCATCAAGTTCTACGAATATGCTTCTTTTTCTACATATATGATAGCATGCACCAACGTCTACATGCCATACTCCATCTTCACCTCTTTTATTATCTTTGTATGCTAACAATTAAATATCATCTTCTCTCCTTTCTTTTATGTAATTGACTCATTCATATACTTTATTTTTGGTGCTCTATATTTTTTAACATAATACTCAAATTTATCATAATTATAGTACTAAACTTGAGATTTATCATACCTTGAGTTTAAACTTCATTTATCATGTCCTCTTGATGAGTTCTCTCCTCTTTCATGGTTATTGTTATTGTTTTTTGAAACCCCTTCCTCGTTCATTAGCATGACCCATCTTTATTCATGGCCTCTTTCATAAGGATTCTATTATTGTTGTTGAAGCTTTCTTTTTCTTGGTTGGTTAGAGATTCATCTGGTAATCCATTCAATCATCTTCTACCTTTCTTCATGAGCTTATAATAAACCCAAGAGTTATTTTATTATCGTATCTTGTAAATCTTTGGTCTCTTCGATGATGATTGTAATACCATCAAATCTCAATTCTAATGATCAAATAATCTTCCCAACGATCACATTTTCTAATTTCTCACAATTTATTTTTAGTTCATTAGAAATGTTAATGACGTTAAAAAATAATTTGGGACCAACTCGCCTTGTTTCATATTCAAAGCATCAAATAGAATTCTTATCATTTGAAGTTGTACATTTTTAACCTTCTCTTCTCCCTTGTATGAGAATTGAAGCTCCTCTCACACTTGCTTTGTTCAAGTAGCCCTTCAAATAATATCAAAATCATCATCATATAAAACTTGATAAATGAGGAAGAGAGCCTTCTTGCCTCTCTTTCTTAAGCTCTTAAACTAACTTTTTGCATTGACAATAGATCTAATTCATCACTTGGCCCATCGTAGCCTTTCTCCGCAACCTTCTAAATGTCATGGACTCATGCTCTCTAAGGAGCATCTTCATCTTCATAATTCAGTTGAAAGGAAAACATACTACCATTCATTATTTCTTTAGAAAAATATATTTGGGCTCTGATACCACTTTTATAGAATAGGAAAACTTTTTGAACTAGACAAAACTAAGGAAATGAAAATATATGAAAAAAGTTACTTAAGTTGAGAAGATAAGAGAAGATGAAAGAAGCTACTTTTTTTTTTTTCATTTTGCATGATACAAATTTATAAGACATCGCCACTATTTACATTAGCGACACTTCCATTAGAATCATTTTAACTCAATGGTTACAAATAACCTTCAAAAAAGTCTTCTATCTTCTATCAAAAAGTCATTAAATGCTATTTTAGATCTTTCCAAGGATTACTCTAAAAAAAGCTTTTAGCATGCTCAAAAGATTAGTTTAGCATATCAACTCTATTTAGATAACAAAAACCTAAATAATAATGGGCAAAAATTAAGTTTAACAACCCACATGCTGGTGGAAATTGTATTGGTAATTGTTATGCAAATGCAGATCACGACGTGTAGGCCATTTGGGCATCAATCATCACGTAAGAGTAGAGATTCAATGCCTTTGGATTGTAGAAGATCGTCACTACTCTAATGTGGGCTCCGAAAATTCACCCTCGGCCTCCCTCGCTGCTTTTTCAGGGGAGTTTTAACGAATTAAGTTCCGGGGTAAATTTTGGGAAGCCATATGGATTTGTAGAAAAGACACAACCAAGAGATTTCGTCATCATTTTGCAAGGACTTTATGATATGAGTTCTAGTTTCTTATAGGCGCAAGCCCTTAAAGTTAATTACACCTCCCGATAACAAGAAAGAACTTTTGATTAAGGCTAGTTGTTGATCAGATATATAGGAATACGTGCATCTGGCATATAGTAACAGCATGTGCTTGGGTATTGGAGAATTTAATATTTAACATTAGAAATTTTACCTCCTTGCACTTAAAGCGGATGGTGGGGGAATGAATGATGGACCCAATCAAGATCCCATAGCTTCGTCATCCCGGGCCATCGTGGTCCCTGATCTACTTAGTTAGAGGAGGAAGTCAACCTAACCTGATAGAAGGGTCCTTGTCGGCAGCCATAGATTGCGTCGTCCAAGGGTACCTGTAGACTTGAGGGGAGTGTTTATCTAAGAAGACAAATTTGAATCCACCTTAACTAACAAAGGGCTCTGTGCCCTATCGATTATATCCTATTGATTCATATCTCAAGGATTTGATGTCATTGGAGAGCATATGGTAGGGGTGTCAATATTTGACACGACCCGAAAACCCGACCCGAACCCGACCCGAAAATTTCGGGTTAGGGTCAACCCGAACCCGAAACGGGTCGGGTTCGGGTTAGACATTTCGACCCGTTTCAAAAATCGGGT